CCGCGGGACGCGCCCTTTGCGTTCGCCATCTCTACGGGACGGCTTAGGTCCATCGGGACCGTCCGGGGGAGGAGATATCAGCTGCGATCCTGGGAGCCCAGGATCGCCCGCCGTATCGCCGCGACGCCAGCTCCGCCCTCCTCTGAATCTTGTCAGACTAACTCTAATCCTCCAACGATATCAACTATAACCATCATGCCCTTAGGGAGGGGCCAGTCTCTATCTCTTGGCTTTCCCACAGTGCATCTGGGGGCTGAGGAGGTGCTTCCCTTGGAATGTCTCTCCCCCCTCCCTGTAACCTTGAAGCTCCATCCCAGAATCCTTCCTGCTCGTGCCTTCCATCACAACAGCTTCTCCTTGAAATGCTTTTGGCTGTCCATTCTGAAAATTAAATTTCAAAGAATTAGAGGAGATTTTGTGGGCAAGGGGGAAGATGTATCCACAAGCACAAGTGTTACCTACTTCCGGAACAGATGCATCAATCTATAACTAGTTCCAATTAATTTTGCATATTTTTAGTTCTTAGTTCATTCCATACAATTTCTGCATTACAAAATAACCTAGAATGTTATTTTCATACATAATCTTCACAAAGTCATTTCTACCTGCATCTTTTGAACTGATAGCTTCAAGGAGTCATGGCCTCAAAACTGAAATAATAAATCACAGAAGTTGTAGAAATCTTAAAGTATAACTATGGTCAAATCTACCTGTTATTCTGAAAGAGCAAGTAAGTTTGATTCACATAAAGGTGGGAACTCAATATTTCCCTTGTCTCTGAATGTAATACAGGTAGCACTCAGCTTATGATGACAATTGGGACTGGAATTTCCTTTGATAAGTGATGCGGTTGTAAGGCGTGACCACATCACTTTGCAACAGCAATACCTGCAGTCCCAGTTGCCATCATTAACTGAATTCCATGGTCGTTAAGCAAGGCAACTTCCTGGTGGCTTTCCACAACCAAAGTCAGTGGGGAAGCCAGCAGGAAGTTGCAAGTCCCAGGCCTGGAGGCAGGTAAGTGGCTGCTGCTGGGTGAGGGAGGGAGCGAGGGGGTGTGCGGGAATGCGGGGGAGGGTCGGGGTGGCTGCGCAAGAAGCACAGTACAGTGCAGGGAGACTGCACAAGAGTATGCACGCAGGTTGGGGAAGGAGTGCGAGAGGCAGGGTACAATGCAGGGAGGGGTGCGAGGGGGTGCACGAGAGGCACCAGGTGGGTCAGGGAGGGTGCATGAGGGTGTGAGGGGTGCATAAGCGGCACCGTGTGGGTTGGGGAGGGTGCACAAGAGACGCAGGTCAGGGAGGGTGTGAGGGGGTGCGTGAGAGGTGCTTTGTGGGTCAGGGACGGTGCACAGGGAGGGGCAGTGAGGGTTGGGGAGGGTGCACAGGGGGCTGGGTGTGAGTGGCTGGCATGGCGTGAGTGCAGAGGGGCTGGGGAGGGTGTATGGGTGGGGGAAACTTACCCCAACAACTTGCAACCTTCCCTACTGGCTTCCCTTTCTGGCGAAACTGGCAGGGAAGGTTGCAAATGGTGATCACGTGATCACGGGGCGCTTAGCAACCAGTCGTAAGTGTGAACAGCTTGCCAAGCACTTAGATCACAATCACATAACTGCATGGGTGCTGGGATGGCCAGAACTCCGAAGACTGGTTGTAACCACCGTTTGATCAGTGCTGTTGTAACTTGGAACGGTCGCTGACCAAATGGTCATAGATTGAGGATTACTTGTATGTAGGCATGTGGTGTATTATAATGATGCTAGGTATTTGTAAAAGGCTTTGATTTTTCTTGTCTGTCTTAGAAAATAAAATACCTGTCCATCAGGTTTAGTACGTAAGATCAGAATTAGTTCCAAGGGCAAAGAATGGTTCATATAAAATTGAATCTGAACATATAGATCAGCCAAAAAAAGCAAACAAAAATTCCCAAGCTACAGGTCAATTTCACATGCATATTTTTGGTCCAGGAGTCAAGCATGACAGTCAAGAGAAAGAATTATTAGTGAATGGGAATCTGAACAAACTTCATGACATTTGAACATTTGAAACATTGCCTACTTTTTCCACCCTATAGAGAAATATTAGCATTAGCTGCAATATTCTTTGCAACTGTAATGCAGATTAAGTGTCATATAAAATGCAGAAAAAGAATTAATGCAATAATATTTAATAATACATAAACTAGGGATGTAAAAGTTTGTGTTTAAAATTATCTAATGTGAAAGGCCTCCCAGAGAGTATAATGATGACATTATAATAAGTAGCAAACCTACCTAAAATCAGAGTTTCAAACTTCCTTCAGTCAAGTTTGAAAGCTCTTAAGTGGCGCCTCTGAAAGAGCAGCTGGTTTCCCCTGAACAATCAAGCTCATTAATGTTTCCCTTTTTTTTTTTTTACTTTTTACCTCCAAAAGCAGGAGTGTTGCAAGGGCAGGCACGAAGGAGCTGGAATTTCTTTGTTTTATTACATTCCACTCCAAGCTCTGGAAACAACTATAATTAATAATAGTTATTATTAGCATAAGTAACCACACGTGTTTTTTTCCCTTTCAAATATGTTTCCTCTCATCAATAGAGAAATTGTGGATTTGAAAGAAATTAAGGAAGGACAAGCAACTTTATTACTACTAATAAAAGCTAGTTAGCTGACTCAACCATGTAAAGTAACTAAAATAGATTGGCATGTCCAGAATTTCACTTCTATTTCTGTTTTTGCTCTTTCTGTTGGTTGCATGCATTGCTCTGAGATCACTCTCTGCTTTCATAAACTTCCACTCCCACATCAGGAATATGGTTACATGAACCTTGTGAGATGATTTTTAAGTGAGGATAGGAATCCTGCCTTTCACAATTTTTACTCATTCTTTTCACTCTTGGGTTTTTTAAAAAATGCTGACCGTTGGTTAAAGAAAGATCAGTTATCAAGGGCAAAGCACAACCCTGTGTAGTTTGGCCTTGAGACAGAATATATGTGGGTGTCTTAAAGGTGGACCATATGCCACTGCCTTTCTGGAAGCAGAACGTAGTGCCCCAGGGTTCTCTTATAGCAGGGTTCCTCAACCGTGGCAACTTTAAGGCGGGTGGACTTCAACTCCCAGAATTCTCCAGCCAGCCTTGCTGGCTGGGGAATTCTGAAAGTTGAAGTCCACCCGTCTTAAAGTTGCCAAGGTTGAGGAACCCTGTCTTATAGGATTTACAGCTGTTCTTCACAGACTTTTCTCTCTTGGTAGTTCTGCAAAACCAAGAACAAAAGGAACCATGGGGATCCTGTGACTGATGTGAAAAGCCTAGGCCCCTTTAGCTTAAATGCCAAGACACACCAGCTTGTTTGGATAGAGTGCTATATACCCATGTAGCGACTTATCCCCAAAATATTTTGTAGGCTTGATAAACTCTGTATTTTTCAAAAATCACAAATTTCATAATTTCCCTAATTATGCTATGTGTTTTTAAAAAGCAGGCTTTGTTTACTGTAAAGGTGAGGACAGTTAAGAAATGGAATAACATCTCAAACTCATGCATTTTATACAAGTGGCTTTCTACTAGTAGAAAGATCTTTTAGCAGACCTTTCCTCATACTTTGCTCAAAAGATAATTTTTACAGAACTTACCAACAAAGATTACTCCAAAGAAATGAACAGAAGAATAAAATATAATTAGAGTTTTAAACAGAAGCAGCTGGTTTTAGAGAAAGAAGACATAAAAAGATATTGGGCAATTGTTCAGAAAAAGACTATGTTTCAGACTTCTGGCTGCCATGCATGCTTGCACAGTTTGGCATACTTTAGATTAGGCTGTGCATAATATGTTTTCCACCTGTCACTTTCCTATGGAAATGAAATATGTGTCTTAAAAAAAAGATTCAACCATCAAATTGTGTATTATTCAAAACCAGGGATTATAAATTCAGTTACTTTAGAGTGATAACCCTCCTGAAATTCAAGAGGGTCTAAGAGAGCTGAAACAGGGAGAAAAAAAATAATTAGATACCTGACACACAGCTCTAAAAAACCCAGATGATTGAGTTTTGTTATTTTTCTCTTTAGCAGATAAATTACTCACTGCCATTATATAGATTCGTAAAGGTTAGGGTTAACCTATAACTATTCTGGGTTGTGATTAGTTTACGACCTTCTGCACAATTAGGACTGGAGTCTAAAGGCACATGAAGAAGCAGATTTCTTTAATCTGCGGAGTCCTTGGAGTTCTGTGAACTGGTTGCAGTCGGTTTGTTACCCAGCTAGGTAATGAAATGTCTACAAGAAAACAACCAAGCTCAGAGAACTCCAAGGACTCCACAGTTCAACCCCGAGCGACATATATTCTTTTCTTTAATCTGCTTGATGTGTGATTGGGAGACTAGCCGGGGAGTACATATGTGGAACTGAGTTTTATTGAAGAAATACAAGTTAGAAACATAACAAATGTGAGTTCTGATTGCAGCATCTAATTTTCAGTTAAGAAATTGCTTTCAGAATTGAATGTCTTGGGAAACAGCTCTTCATAAAGCTTGACAAATGGTGGTGGGAAACTCTTCATCTGTAATACTGAAGCAATTTTATACTAGAGGGATCTTAACTTTTCAGTGTATTTTAAGAGCAGTGTATTTCTTGGGTTAGAAGAATTATAGAGCAAGAAACCAAAGAATACAGTACAAATGTACTTGTTGCAAGGTATCCTAAAGTACAATGATATTCAGTGGGGCAAAAAAGTATTTAGTCAGCCACCAATTGTGCAAGTTCTCCCACTTAAAAAGATGGGAGAGGCCTGTAATTGGTTAGAAGAATTATAGAGCAAGAAACCAAAGAATACAGTACAAATGTACTTGTTGCAAGGTATCCTAAAGTACAATGATATTCAGTGGGGCAAAAAAGTATTTAGTCAGCCACCAATTGTGCAAGTTCTCCCACTTAAAAAGATGGGAGAGGCCTGTAATTGGTTAGAAGAATTATAGAGCAAGAAACCAAAGAATACAGTACAAATGTACTTGTTGCAAGGTATCCTAAAGTACAATGATATTCAGTGGGGCAAAAAAGTATTTAGTCAGCCACCAATTGTGCAAGTTCTCCCACTTAAAAAGATGGGAGAGGCCTGTAATTGGTTAGAAGAATTATAGAGCAAGAAACCAAAGAATACAGTACAAATGTACTTGTTGCAAGGTATCCTAAAGTACAATGATATTCAGTGGGGCAAAAAAGTATTTAGTCAGCCACCAATTGTGCAAGTTCTCCCACTTAAAAAGATGGGAGAGGCCTGTAATTGGTTAGAAGAATTATAGAGCAAGAAACCAAAGAATACAGTACAAATGTACTTGTTGCAAGGTATCCTAAAGTACAATGATATTCAGTGGGGCAAAAAAGTATTTAGTCAGCCACCAATTGTGCAAGTTCTCCCACTTAAAAAGATGGGAGAGGCCTGTAATTGGTTAGAAGAATTATAGAGCAAGAAACCAAAGAATACAGTACAAATGTACTTGTTGCAAGGTATCCTAAAGTACAATGATATTCAGTGGGGCAAAAAAGTATTTAGTCAGCCACCAATTGTGCAAGTTCTCCCACTTAAAAAGATGGGAGAGGCCTGTAATTGGTTAGAAGAATTATAGAGCAAGAAACCAAAGAATACAGTACAAATGTACTTGTTGCAAGGTATCCTAAAGTACAATGATATTCAGTGGGGCAAAAAAGTATTTAGTCAGCCACCAATTGTGCAAGTTCTCCCACTTAAAAAGATGGGAGAGGCCTGTAATTGGTTAGAAGAATTATAGAGCAAGAAACCAAAGAATACAGTACAAATGTACTTGTTGCAAGGTATCCTAAAGTACAATGATATTCAGTGGGGCAAAAAAGTATTTAGTCAGCCACCAATTGTGCAAGTTCTCCCACTTAAAAAGATGGGAGAGGCCTGTAATTTTTAAGTGGGAGAACTTGCACAATTGGTGGCTGACTAAATACTTTTTTGCCCCACTGTACATGCCTATTCGAAAGTAAACCTTCAGTGGGAATGACTCTAAAATAAAGTCAGCTAGTGCAGTGGGATTTCCCTCCCCCCCCCATATTTTCCCTAATTATGCTCTGAAGGGTCCCTCACTGTTGCAGGTGCTTCCAAGGAGGGAATCTGTTCTATTGAGTGATGTTATTCTGTGGGCATATGGCTCACAGACACCCAAGGTATATTGCAAGGATGCACAATATTCTTCAAACATAGAAAACCAAACCAAAAACAATTCACACAGCTCTTCCTCTGGCAAGACTCTGATTAAAAAAAAAAAATAACATTACTATCTGGAATGACGTGGGAGGGAGGAAATACTAGGCGGACCTAGGAGGAAGAGCACCAGCTTCATGTGCTACTACTCTGGTTTCCCTGTCACCCAGAGCTAAAACGTTATTCCACTAGGATTCCAATGTGCTGTAGACCCCTTTTATATTTTCTTTCTTCCATAAACTTTGAAACTCTTAGCCGCTGGAATTGTATCATTGGTTTCTCCCAACTTCTATCCTTGCTGTTGGGGCTGAAAGGCATAGCTCAACAGCGGAGGAATACTCCGGCTCTCCATTTATCGAGAATCTCCCCATGCTCAATAAATCCGAAGTTCTTCAAACTTTGATAGATTCCAAATTTACAGAATATAAATTACTCCTTTTCCAAGCACCCTATTTACAAACCCATGAACATTAAACTTGCTTATCCTCTTTTGAGCAAGTGTATGCTTGTGGAAGAGTGATCCCTTTGGGCTATTTTAGCAGATTGCAACAGGGCTTCCTCCTCTGAACAGGAAAATAATGCTAACAATGCTAAGCTTCTGTAGACTGATTAAGTATTCACATCTATATACAATATATCTAGCTTTATGTAGATGTTATTTATGAAAAATAAAATGAAAAAATGATTTAAAAGCATTATTCATGATTACTGAATTCATAATAAGTTTTTGTCATATTTTATTTCAGTCAACAAATAATGAAAGTAAAAGTGAGATCATATGGGGTGTACAGGTTTTTTTTAACTATAGAAGGGGTCTTTATACTCAAACAAATTGGGAACAACTGATCTAGCCCACTCAAAATTGAACCCAGGAGTTTCTCACACTAAGCAAAACATAGACAATTTTTAGATTCTAGAATTGTGTTACAGTTTGGTGCATTGTAATATTATGTTCCATTTTCTAAATAGTATTCCTATTCTTATTCTAACTCATTCTGTCACTAAAGATGTAGAGTGAATAACAAAATAAATGATATATATGCCAAATAATTTAGCAGTTGCTACAGATTTCGTTTCACTAGCTCCACTGGTGATATAGTGAAAAGCTTTCGACCAGAAAGAAGCATTTTCCATAGATAAAAATAGCTCTAATGGGAAAACAATCCCTGTTTTATATCTTCTTTATACTTAATTCACTTCAGAGCTACATATGGAAATCTGTCTAATTTATAATTCATTTTTCACAGGTATATTTTGCTAATGGGTCTTCAGGATCGAAATGAAAAACTCTTTTATAAAGTGCTGACTTCTGACATTGAAAGATTTATGCCTATTGTTTATACTCCCACTGTGGGTCTGGCATGCCAACAATATGGTATAGCATTTCGGAGACCAAGGTATGTAAGGTTATACTTCACATTTAAGTAATTGTATATTTTTTTCTTCCTTTGCAGGTTTCTGCTTTTTTTTCCCCACCAGCATACTTGAGTGTAATCCAAAACTGGAATAATTAAGATAATTCAAACTATGTTAAGTACACTTTGCAAAAATAAATGGATACTTTATTTTTTTAAACCTTGACAATTAAAAAAGGTTTGGTTTAGGTGGCTTTACAGAGAAACCAATATTGCCTAATAATAATAAAAAAATAAAATAGGGAAAACCCTATCCTACTTAGATTTAAAATTTGAAAAAATATTAACATTGTTAATATGTAATAACATATAACCATGGATTTAATTACAAAGGGAAAGTATCTGGAGGATATTTCATAATGTATTTTTCTGTAAAATATTAAAACAGAACTTTAAAAAACCGCTTAAATGCTATTACTACCATTGGCAAGATCAGGCAGCCTCTGCAGTTCACATTTATTTTTCTTCCAGTTGTACTGATAGCCAATTTTTCTCCAGAGCTTTCTCACAGTATATTTGATTAACATTAGTGCTTATAGCAATTATCTTGGTTCTCTTTTTAAAAGGTGATAAACTTAATTATTGAACTGCTTGACCTTCGCTATTATTAAAATACTAGCAAACCAGGATTTTAGACCTTGACTTAAAGGGAATTATCTAAATTAGTAATTATCTGTAACATCAATGAATGAGTTAGACAAGGAAAAATTCTGACTATCCTTGTTGTAACATTGCAGCAATTATTGTATTTATATTACTACTAAGAAATAAATGGAATAGTCCTATAGACAGACAACCTCTTGGCAAGATATATCCTGGAATTCCCATTTTATTTCATGTATATGGATATTTGGTTCTGAGGATGCACCTAAATGATCTGGAACTCCATTATTTGACACATACCCTGCCCCCACCCCCTGCCAAGCTTTTTAAAAAGAAAAAACAAAAAACGGACAGTGATGGGAATCCTATTCTGACGGAAAGCTCTCTGAAGCTTGCTTTCAGGACAAACAGAGTTAAAGAAAGGGGAACAGCATAGTGGAAAATATATAAATTGAATGAAATAAACAAGCAAACAAATAAACAAACTTCTCCCAGTGGCTCATTAAAAAAAAAAGAGAAATCCAGGAACCTATATTTAAACTGTCTTTTAATGTGGCCCTGGCTTTTTAGGAAAAGTTAGAAATCTGAGCTAAGAATTAAGCAATGGTAGTCTTTTGGTTTAATGTTAATGATCAGAAGTCGACAGGGTGAGCCTGAGGTGCACAACCGGCTGCCCTAAGGGACTCTTTATGTAGTCCTTCGAGGCCTTTTCACCATGATTTGCTGAAAGTTTCCTACCCTTTGGCGATAGAAAGAAAACACAAGAAACCTGTAGTGAAAACCCTAATATAGGCATATCGCAATAAAAAAACCCCAAACATATGAAATTCTTCCCAAGTCCAAATGCATGTGAGGTGACCTCACCCATTTTGTAGTCTTTACTTACATCCCTTCCTACGTTATGTGCAGCCTATGGGATAGATTGTGAATGTGAATAAGATACAAAGATACTTGCCTTTTCCAGAATTTACTTTATAATCTTAATAGATAATTACTGGGTAGACCTGCTGGTCATAATAGCACATTGAATCACTGTATTACCAATATTGGATGAAGTTGCAACTGGCTAGTGTATAGCAGGTATGTACATATATATACATAGACACACAAAGAACCATCCAGGATAGACTTTAGCTGAAGTTGGCAAATTCTAAGTTAACTAAGTAGGAAGGGTGGGCATTTCAAACAGTTTTTGTAGGTGTTTATATATATTTTTTTTCCTGTCTATCCTTTTTATGGACTATTATCTTTAAATCAGTCTGCCATTTTAGTAAATGTAATATGGCAATCATGCATAGGTATGTTTTTCTTTTACATTCTGTTATGGGTTTAAAGAAGAAATTAAAAGTTCAGAAGCAGCTTCTTTTTCTACAGGTATTCTGGTTTTACACAGGCATGCCTTTGACTGAAGAAAGTTAGGGTGGGCATCACACCAGTAGTTATCCATAATATTTAGTTAGATTTGTGTATCTGTAACTACGCACTGCTAAAATGTTTTAATTTTATCCCCTGTTGGCGTACAGCTGTGTATCGTATAGTAATACGTATACCTATACAGGTTTTTATATACTCTGTGATTTTTGCAAACATCACCACATTCCTAGCAGTGGCTGCTATTGCTAAACCATCCTTCTCCTTCCATCCTTCCTCACGCTTGATACCAGAAGGCAACCCCCTCATAGTGTGCTGGCCTCCACTTCACATCCTCTATTTTAGGGAAGGTGTATAAAGTTCCCGTGACCTCAGATTTCTTTTTATGGTGTTTTGGACTGTCTGTCTCTGTTTCCCATAAACTGTGAAAGTCCATTTCTTCTTTCCTTCCTAAAATAGTGTGGAACCATGCACTAAAATGTGGTGTGATTATAGATCCATGCATTTAATTAACTCTTTTCACTTTGAAAGCATTGTTCTGTGTGAATGCTTCCATTCTGTGTATTGTATGATACTTCAACAGGTCACTAGACTTGTTATAACTAACAGCCTTAAACATACAAAGTGTATGCATGCATGTTTTCCATATAGCACACAATCCATTGCCTCTTTCTTTGTGTGGTCTACTAAGTTGACTTCCCACACTATCTTGGTGGTCAGAAATACTCTGATTAAAAGAACCCCATGCAACAGTTGTCTTGTCAAAAGTACTTCAGCCCTTCATGAAGTCTGGTGGATTCTTTTTTTCATCAACGACTATATCTTTCATGGAATAATCTGGATTAATTTCAAATGCAAATATCTGTTTTCCTTCTTCTTAGATTTCTATATGATTTACGTAAAGAAAATTAAAGTCAGTTACATCAGCAAAGTGTTACTAGGTACTGTCACATAGTACATTTTATGTGCTTGAAAGCTAATAGTAATCTATCTCTGCTTTCATCTTTCAGTGGTAAAAAAAAGTTAATTTTGACAGACAAAAGCCAGTGTTTTTATTTAAATTAATATAATCTATTTGCAAATTTATATTCTTCCTTGTAGTTTAATTTTTTTAAATGCCTTTTAAAAGCATTTAGATTCCAGTTTTATGCTAGTGAATTTCTGCAGGTGGTCTGGCTTATATGAATGGAGTGAAACTGGATCTTTTTTGCAGTTAAAGGGTAAGGGTGACAGTCAGTTCAGATGTTTTTTATTTCATTTGAGCTTATTTTAGCTATTCTCTTCACATTCTTATACACAGGCCTGACATTTATGGATACTGGCTGCAGTGACTTATGTGATATAATGAAAATTGGCAACAGCCATATATCCATGAGTTTCTAGGTTGTAGGGTATGTTTGTTCATCCAGGAACACACTTAATAGCTTATTTAGTATCAAAATGAGTCTGAAATGCCTACACGTTCAACCTTCTTTTGAGAAGTTGCCATATTTCTTATGCATAAAATATGCCTTCCTGAAACTATATAACTAGAGAATTATATAGAAAGGCTTGTATATAGCTTCCTCTGAAGTTCTTTGGGAAATATTTTTATGCATTAAAAGAAAGATTAATTTGATTGTTTTGTGAATGAACATTATCTCTGAATTTTGTGAAAATTTTCCCTTTCTAATCAACTCTGCTTTATGCATAGTTGCATATAGTCTGGGGATAATCTATCATATTACTGCCTGCCTGTCTGTCTGCCTGCCTATTTATTTTTATCTATCTATCTATCTATCTATCTATCTATCTATCTATCTATCTATCTATCTATCTATCTATCTTTTATACCCTGCCCAATTCTCCTGACTCCAGGTGGCTTATATACAAATATAAATATTATTTAAATATAATAGAACAATTATTATTTGAACAAGTATAATTAAGAGGGAACAAGGTGACAGGCACCAAAGCCCTTTGAAATGGGTGCATCCTTGCTGCTTTCCTGAACTCTACAGTTCTGGGGACTGTCTGGGCCTCAGGAGGTGGAGTATTCCAGAGTGATGGGGTTTCCTAAGAAAAGGAATGTTTCCTGCCTCCACCCTTCCGTGGAAGGAAACTTGAAGCATCGCTTTCCAGACTAGTGTAAGGCTTTAGAGTTCAAGAACAGAACATTAAATTGTAGTCAGGTACAGAGGTAACAAATGCAGTACTCATAATATACAATAGGTATAACACTGCTGAAACAGCTCCCACTCGCCAGCATTTGGGCTGTCACATTCTGCACCAGCTGAAGTTTCCAGGTATCTGCCAAGACAGCTTCAAATAGAGCATGTTGCAGTAATCCAATCTCGAGGAAATGAGTGACTCTTGCAGAAGCTGGGCAGAAGCATCCCTGGCCATGGGCTCCACTCCCAGATCAAGTAAAATCTGTGAATATAGAAGAATCTCTCCCTCCGCCCCCAAAAGTTCACACCTACTCTTTCAGGAGGAGTGCAGTTCTGCCCAGAGCCAACATAGAGTTCATAATCGAGTCAGATGGCTTTTGGACAAACTACAACTTCATAGTGCTAGGATTAAGTTTCACGTCGTTTCATCCCACCCAGTCCTTTACTGCCTCTAGACAGTAAGAACCTCCACTATATTTCCTGTCTGACTTGGGGCAGGCAATACATAACTAGATATTATCAGCATACTGATGTTACGTCACCTTGAATCAATGAATGACCTGACTTAATAGTTTCATGTAGATGTTAACATGTGGGAAAGAACCACGCCCTGCAGCATCCTATATAGAGGTTTGATCACTCATCCCCCATTATCACTAATTGGAACTATCTGCTTAGGTAACAGCAGAACAACAGCAAATACTGCCTGCCATTGTCAGTCCTTTTAGTTGATCTAGAAGTATTCATAATCAATTGTTTTGAATGCCACTGGGAGATCCAATAGGATCAGGAAGACTGCATTCCTCTTATCCAGCAAAACAATCAATGTAGCTTTAATACCATGCCTAGATCTGAAAT